TTCACTACATTTTGTTCCTTGAGTATTTAAGTCCATTTCCACTCTAGCCTTTCAGTTTACTCTCCTTGCTGCTTACCCTCCCTAAATATCTCTTTACCCTGTTTTTCACATCACAGGCTAATTATCAACCTCTGGTTTCATTTCACACTTTTCAAAGAACCCTGTTGACCATACTATCCAAAATCAACCTTCTGCACACTTACTTTCTCCATCGTTATCCTGTTATTTCTGTGCATCACTTCCACAACCTTAATTATGTATTTTTATTTACTTGTTTCTTGTCTTTCTCCTTGATTAGCTCCATAAGAAAATGTACTCTTTCTGTCTTATTCTCACTTATATTTGTGGCATTCTACAAAATATCTAGCATTATAATAAAGGCTCAAAGATGGTTCTTTAATGTAGAATGGATGCAATTGAAGTCATAGGGACATCTAGCTTTGCTAGACTTGAAAAGACACATTGAGTAGTCACATACTGCTAAACTCTTCAGGACCATCTGTTTTATAAACACTTTGTTGGGAAATATAAATACGATAGTCATGCATCTTCAAGGAACTTTTCCAGATCCTTTGAGTTAGACACAATTTTCTCTTCTAGCTACATAACATTTTACTTCATCTTCACTGTAGTAATTTTAATGTTTACTTTATATGATTGCTACTTTAATACCTGTTTTCTCTCTCCAACTGGACGGTCTGAAAGTACCTTGTAGGCAGGGACTATATTTTCCTAACATATATTAGGCAACCCTACAGAAATAACCTATGGGTTTTAGGATACACTTAATATGGTATTGTGCTGAAAATGAGTTAATTAAGAAAGTTAGCATTTTTGATTTAATGATAAGAGTCTCTAGTTTTCTAAAGAAAAAGGAGCTATGTAATTCTAAAGTAATTAGGATCTCAACCGAGCATTAATAAAGCTCTGTTCCCACCAAGGACACTGTGTCATGCTGTCATGTGTGGGGGAGGACTCTCCCTCTTCTCTCTGCCTTTGTTCTTGTTTATGTGTACTGCCTTTCCAGTTTATAATCCCTGTAGTTTGCATTGCAATAAAGTGCCAAATATTTCCTGCCCACATCTCTGTTTGACTGCAAGCATGTCAACTGTTATGGAGAGCAACAGATCAGAATATTTTTTAGGTTTGTTGGAGTTCTTAAAAATGCCCATTTTTACACATCAATATGTGTGCCTATTGCCAAGCAGAACCTCCATTTGTTATGAGGAGACCTTTGATTAGCCTGCATTCTGAAGAGGATCCATATACATAGTAGTTACCATTTATTATGACAAGATTGATGGAGAACTCTGGAGGGAGTAAAGCCTGAAACTGGCTTTCACTTTCTGATTCCATGCATAAAAAAGAAGAATGGGTCAGCCCTAGATAAGCATTCAAATAACTTATACACTGGTTGTGATAACTTACACACTGGTTGTGATAACTTATAGCCCCTGGGATTGGGGGCTACTGGAGTCTTTCTGAATCATGCACACCAGTGAGATGGAAAAGTAGTGTAAGCACAGCTCTTTTTTTTGTTTTGTTTTGTTTTTAAGATTTGGTATTTTTCTGACAAATTCAAGTTCCCCAAAGGAGTAAGATTTTATGGGAGAATTCTTTTTAAGGTGTGAGTGTATATTAAGGTTGGTGGTTATAATCTGAAACCTCTTATACATTTCTAACCTCCACCCAAAGCTTACAGTCTCAGAATCTCCAGAAGTTGTGCCTGGGAATCTGAATTTTATTATAATAACTGGAGGATGCATCCATTGAAGTTTAAGAGCCATTGCTTGAGGAAATAGAGTTTCAACAGTTGTCAATTTTGTCTCTGAAGTGGCAGTTTGTACCTGGAAAGTTTTGGATCTCAGATTGCTTCCTAAGTAAATCCCAGATATTTGTGGTTTTATTGTTCTTGTCCTATAATTAAATTGACTCTCAATTGAGTAATTAGGTAAGTCAATGACTGATTATGTGATTGAAACAAAATAGGCTAGCTCTCATACTAGCCAACCCAGCTTACTATATGGGTTTCAAATAGGTTTCTCTATTTGAAATGTGCATTGGGCCATAGGAATGTGAATGCCTCAGGACACTGTTCTTTCTTCACATTACGGACATGGGAGCAGTTTTGATGGCACTAACCTTCAGTAAGCAGGACTCATTGGGTTTGATATAATCAGAAAGCAACTTTATTCTTGTCCTCTATTTACCCATTCAAATTGTCTCTGTAGGGTTATTCTTTCCTAACTTTTGGATAGAAACTGGGGTAAGTTTCATGTGTTTTCACTTACTTTTAAGCAGTACAGACTCCTTTGCTCATATGTAAATACATAGAATCTCAATTTTCTTAATATATCCAGGATAGAGCAATTATTTTTAAATATCTTCAAAATTTATTAGAAGTTAGTTTCCCCTTTCTGTCAGCTCAGGTCTGCTTGGAGCTGCCTACATGGCATGGGAAAAGAGGCTGTGGGAAGCCCTTTCTTTTTCTCTGCCTGGAGCTTTTGCTTTGCTTCCTATACTTCAATTGGTTGCTTCTGGTTCCTCCAGGGCTGAAGGATGTAGGGTGGGAGGCTAGAAAGACAATGGAAATCAAAGTTTACTTGGTAGATACTACATGAAACTAGCATGGATGCTGTTCAACTTAGCAGGGGTTTCAAACTATTCTTCCTCTCATGGGGTGAATTTTGTGGAGTTTTCAAGACTCACCATTACTTAATATGGGCTAAGTATGTCCTCTGGCTTCATTTTAAGCACTAGATAACCAGCTGAACATTTCCAGCATCTTTCTGCCAAGGTCTCATTACCCTTAACTTCAGGCAGCCCTTTTGGGTATTATCTATGACCTCTTCAAATAGCTTCTCTCATATATGATGCACACACAGTCTGCAGGAAACTTTCACAAATCTTTTGTTCTGACAACCTCTGAGAATGCAGGCCATGCCCAATTCTGTCATTTTGCCAGCAGAATAGCCAATACAGACTCTTCCCTTTGGAATTTGCAGATGATGTCATAGTTCAGTCTAGTACTTCCCAAGTGCAAGAAGGTGCTTCTCAAGCTCTTCAGATAGTTCCATTTAATTTCTTGAGGGAAAGGAGAAGGGCTCCACACTCTCACATGGAAAAAGGGAAGTAGAACTCACAGTACAATATAGTTCTCTCATAAGAAAGTTGCTGCCTGTTTCTTTGTTTCTTCTCCAATCTCATTTTTAGACTGTTGGTGAATGGTCAGTTCAGGTTTGAATACTGATTCTTGACATCCTGCACTGATGCTCTCCTACCTCACTGTGGTAATGTGGGTGCAGTTACCATCTGTGTCTTAGGACTTCCATGTAGGACTTCATCTGGGACACTGGTTCAATTTTAACATCTCTTCAAAATCATAATAGTAGCTAACTTATGTTGATCACTTGTTACATGCCAAGCACTCTTGTATACATGCCATATCATACTCAGCCATGTCCACCATATGATAAGGAAACAACAGTCCAGAGAGGTCAAATAATTTACATAAAGTTATACAGGTAGCAAATTGCAAAACTCTTTCTACACAATGCATTATCTTCTTTCTAGGAAAATTCAGAATAACTTTGCCTCATAGAAAATGCTATGCATTATTTTTTTAAAAAAGCTACAGCTGTGCCAGGCTCAGTGGCTCAGCCTGTAATCACGCGCCTTTGGGAGGCTGAGGTGAATGGATTGCCTGAGCCCGTGGGTTCGAGACCTGCCTGGGCAGGTGAGACCTCACCTCTACAATAAATCAAAAAATTAGGTGTGGTAGCATGCACCTGTAGTTCAGCTACGTGGAAGGCTAGGTGGAAGGATCGCCGGAGCCCAGCAGGTCGAGGCTGCGGTGGCCGGGAGTGGCCACTGCACTCCAGTCTGGGTGACAGAGTGAGACTCCAACTCAAAAAATAAATAAATAAATAAAAGCTACAGCTGTTCAGTCCTGACTTCTACAGTGCTAAGATATAGAACTGTGCACTCACTTGCTAAACATTTTACTATATCTTATTCATTCAGTCTTTACAACACCAGGTAATGTGATTGACCTTGTCTTCATCTTAAATATCAAGAAACTTGTGCTAGAAAGGCATTATGTGACTTCCATTAGATCATACAACCAGGAATGATTGGAGCCAGGATCAGAACCCAAAGTTTCAGATCATGAACTTCACTTTTCTCTGTATTCTGAAGTGACATGCTAGCAAAAGGCATATGTTCCATTGTGAGCATCTGCTCTGTGGCAAATGTTTAAAGTTAACAGGTTAAATCTGCTTTCTACCACAAATTGCCTCTTGATGAGCCAATATTATAAAATAATTGAGATTTTTACTAAAACTGATGAAAACAAAGAGCATCTTATTCATCTTGGAATTCCTAGCCCCTGGCCTAAAGTTGGTACTCTACTAATGAGTTAATCAAATGAATAAACAAGTGAATGAGTGAATGGTCTTCTAAACTCTCTGGTAGAAATTTATGACTTCATGTGATCCAGGATGGTATATTATCCTTCTTCTGAGTATTTACATTTTATAAGATGATCCTCGAAGACGCACCTAAGTGAATGGTGTCTAAAGTTGAATTTGCAAGTCTGTCTTTGGAAAAGAAGGGAAAGGAATTAGGACAGAGTTTTTCTCTGGAGGCTCAAATTTTACTGCAAAGATGATAGCCTACATTTATATATACTTTAGGGAAAAGTAGAATACTTCTTTGTTTGAGTGATATAATGTCCGGAACATTGTTTCTCAATTCAAAGAGGGATGCTTTAATAATTTTAGCCACCTAGAAATGGAGTAGGCTGCTTCTAACATATTCATATTCACATTTCTGCTGAGGGACCTGCTGGCTTTGCTCTGGAAGGAAATATTAAACTGTTATTGGTGGGGTGAACCAGAAGTCTCCTCAGGTACCATGCCCCTGAATTTGTGGAGATGATAGCATTTATTCAGGTGGTTGAAGACTGGATGCAGCTAACCAGGTCTGTCTGTTGTTCACAGGTCTGAGGCGCAATTACAGATGTACCATCTGCAGTGTCTCCCTTAACTCAATAGAACAGTATCATGCCCATCTGAAAGGATCTAAACACCAGACCAAGTAGGTACTTTTGTGCTTTCACTCTTCCGTTTCTCTCTATGTAATTTTTAGGAAGATGACAAAAGACTAAACTTTTTATTTATTGCAAAATAAGTTGATGGAAATAATATCTCTTTAGCTTCAAAGTTCCCATGATATTTATACTACATAAGCCTCTAAAGTCTACTTACCCTTACTTGAAGTGGCTTCTTCCCTTTTTTGGCACAAGTAATGGGAGTTTTCTTTTCTTTTTTAAATTTTTTCAAGGACAGTTCAGCACACTTTTATGAACTTGAGGACACTTTAAAATCTATACTAAGTATTTTTAAATAAACAGTGTTATTCTTTTTGTAAGATGTGCCAGACTTTGGTGATATGAAGATAAATTCTATGAATGTCTTCTACCACTTTCCCTTTCTGGATGATTATTGTCAATTATCATAGAAACTCAGTAAATCCCCTGGTATATTAAGTCATTTACATATATAACTTTTTCCAATTACATGGAAGCTTAATTCATTTTTTCAAAGATTCTCATAATTTTACATTTGAAGACTAACCAGTCATCATTTCACTTTATACTTTATAAACCTCTAACATTAACTTTGTGGACATTTTAAAAGCAGCTGCTAGGACTGTTAATAAAATGAGAATAAAATAAGAAAAAACAAATAATGTCTCAAAAATATGCAATTTTCCTGAGCATATTTCTTTTCATTTCTCAAATATTTAGTGGGAGCATTATTTAACAGATTTGACTATAAAATCTTGAGACCTCATGAATAAAGAATGATTCATTCAGCAGGCATTTATTGTGTGTCCACTATGTGTCATACGCTGAACCATGAACTGGGGAAGAAAAGATGAGTAGAATTAGTCCTTCTTCTTGTGGAACCTCTGCCAGACCAGGAAAACAGCCATGCAAAGGCATAGATTGCTTTCCAATACCATGTGTGCAGCCAAAGTTTTACACACAAACTTTAAAGGACATGGGTCCAGAGGCTGTACACATAAGAGTGAGGTCATGGTTTGATTGTGTTCAACATTAATTATATCCCTGGTGCCTAGCACAGCACTTGATACATTTTAGGAGCTTTATAAACATTTTTTATTTGAATGTGTGATCAAAAGATGGGTGACAATTATCTAGGCAGGGTTATGACAAGGAGCATTCCAGGTAAGTTGTTTTGCAAAGATATTATAAAGACATAGGTCACAGGACATCTGGCTCAGGTAAGGGCATTTAAACCCAGAGTTGGTTACTGACTCTCAGTTTTCTCCTCAGTATTGTCTGTCTTATGAGTCAAAGCCAATTTCATGGCTTGCTTGACTCTGATTCACCCCACAGGATTCTTATTAGGGTAATTCTTCAAAAATAAGACTTTTCCTTGAATTGTTATGGAATACCTAGAGTGCTTGTGTTGGATACTCCCCTCCCCTGCAACCTGTAAATGACACACAGATATTGTTGCACAAATACATGCAACAATAAATGATAATCCTTTGGGAACTTGAATACATTGCTCTTAATAAAGAGAAAAGATAAGCAATAGTAACTTTAAATGGCATGAATTATGTAAATACCTAATGCAGATAGTATCTCCAGATTCAGTAAAGTGTCTATCTCTTCTCAGTCTGTACCTATAAAACTTCATGTGCTAGAATATCTGCTAGGTATTTTCATTTCTTTTATCTAATTTCATCTTTTTGACTACCTTTGGGATAAATATTATTGAGCCGTTATCTTACAGGAGAGGGGTTGAGTAACTTATCTACTATCACCCTGCCAGCAAATGTCAGAGCCAGCACTGAACCCAGCAGTGTCTGACTCACGCCTCTCCTTACTCTGCTGCACTTAGTTACCACAAACCTAAACATGGAACAAGTGCCAAGAAAGAGTTACTATGTGCATTTGAAAAGAGGGCACCACTTCCCAGAAATGATTTAGCAAATACATAAGTCTTCAGAAGGGAACATCTCCAACAGTCCTGTCTTTTTTCCTCTAAAGACATTGTTCATTTCTAATTAAAATGCACAAATTTGCTCTCCTTCTGAAGAGTGAAATTTTTTTAAAAAATGAAAAAATAATTATAATAGTCCTGTCTCATGTGCTTGTTTCATTTGTCCTTATACCTAATTTAGATATCCTGTGTTTGCATGCTTGTGAGTGTGTGAATGTGTATGTGTGAAGTGTTTGTTGTCTTTTGCCTATTTATAAAAACTAGATCAGATTGTTGTTTACTTGGTAAGTTGTAGAAGTTTCTAATTTTTAATGAAGTCCAATTTATCAATTTGTTCTTTTATGGTTAAAATTTTATGGATACTATTTAAGAATTCTCTTCTTGTCCCAAGATACTCTCCTATGTTATTATCTAGATATTATGCTATTTTTCCTTACAAATATAAATCTTTGATCCATCTGGTGTTAATTTTATGCATAGTGTGAGGGAGAGGTCAATTTTCACAATTTTTTTTCCAAATAAATTCCAGTTAATCCAGTACCATTTATCGAAGAAAGCATTGCAGTATAGTTTGTTTTATTTTGTTTTTGTAGATCAGATGATTTACATATATGTATATGTGTATCTGTCTCTATGTTCTATTTCAGTGTGGTTTTTGTCTTTCTTTGTGCTAATATCACATTTCTTTCCTATAAATACAATATTTCCTATAGCTTTATGATAAGTCTTGATCTCTGATGGAAATCTTCTAATTTTATCTTCTTCAAGACAGTCTTCACTATTATTGACCCACTGCGTTTCCATATCAATTTTAGAATCAGCTTGTCAATTTCTTCAAAAAAGCCTTCACAGTATTGAGTCTTCTAATCCATAATCATGGTATACACCAGCATTTATTTATATATTCTTTAATTATTATTATATATATTTTTTTTGAGTTGGAGTCTCACTCTGTCGCCCAGACTGGAGTGCAGTGGCCGCTCCCGGCCACCGCAGCCTCGACCTGCTGGGCTCCGGCGATCCTTCTGCTTCAACCTTCCAAGTATCCATA